CTACTTCTTGAGGACTTTGCTAAATAAATTGTGGTACCTACCTGTAAATTAACAAGCGGTCACTGGAATGGCAAAGAGAGCAAACAGCTCCTAAGGGACCTGGAGATTTCCATGACCCATTCATCAATGACCCGTCCACCAAAATAGCTTTTAAAAATGATTTCCTTCATTCAAATACATGCATCCAAACTATACTCCCGAAAATCTGTACAAATTTTTAAGAACCACATCAATGGTTTGTAGGCTGCCTGGTGAATTTAATTTCTAGTTTTCCATATATTTGATTTTTCACACACACATTTATTCACTTTTACAAGGTAACAATGAAATAAAAATGGAAGCTCTGTTTTGGGATGTGAATTCAAAAGAAGCATTGTGTGACAGCCACCACTGGGTCTCAGAAATGATAACTTTATTAACTAATGTCCAGTTAGGAAGCCCTCACATCAAGAGCCTCTTATTTGGTTTATCTACAAACTGGAACTAATAGTAATTCTTCCCTTGTATTGCATGCAGGCATACAATGCAGAGCTATTTATGAAAGAATAAGATGCTAAATAGTGAGGTGGTGGGGAGGGCGGAATCCACAGCCGGACTTCCTGGGAGTGAGTCCCAGCACAGTCGCCCCCACTTTATAATCTTAGGTGAGTTACTTTGCTTCTGAGTCTCTGCTGTCTAATGTACAAATGAGATAAGTAAATCTACTCACAGTGTGGTTGTGTTAGAAGGATTAATTTAGCTAACATTTGTAAAGCACTTCTGTAATACCTTACAAACATTATATGCATGTTTAATAAATAAGTAAAGTGCTACGTGGTACATGCAGAGGTTGAAGTCTGGTCTTTAACTACCTTAGTAAAATCTCCTTTAGAATACCGAAGGCTGGGGTTATGTGCTTAAGAAAACCTTTTTTTGTTGTTGTTCTGTTTTGTTTGCCTGTGGGAAAGACAGAGAAGCCAAGAACATAAAAATCAACATGGAAAAATGCGAGTAGAAAACAATAATGGGAAAGAATGCTTTGTTCTTTGTCTTTCTCAGAGTGTCTTAAATAGATCTGCTCAAATCAATACTGTAGTTGGAAAAAATTTCATTCGTGAACAAGAACAGATTTATACAAGAAGGATCTGCCATGCTAATTGAAAGGCCTTTATTGCCTGTTGTCCATTCCTGTTAGGCACCATCTTTTAAACTAAGATGGCTGCCACTTAAATGGAGTCAATTAGAAACATTAATAAAACAACCCTGCCATTTCCCATTAGAGCCAGGCAAGACCTTTTTCTTCTCTATTAAGCAAGCAATTGCTAATCACTATTTTTATCGATATCTCAGAAACATGATCTCTAATTTACCTCTGCTAAATGAATAATTCTGATTGGGTTACTAACTCTAAGTTGAAAGGACTCTGGGGGAGGGAGGAGAAGTCTCTGTCATTTCCTGTTTGTAAGAGGGAAATGTGATTGGGGGGAAAAAATCCAAACACTGTTTCTAAAGGATAGAATATGCAGGGTAGCATATGCTCTATGAAGTAAAAGAGAATAGGATGGATGAATTTACAAAGAATAGTCAGTAAACAAGAAAAAGCAAATTTTTTTTAAAAAGGCAGATTCATGTGCACAGTGTCTGCTTAGCCAGCAAGTACATGAAGCATTTATCAGAGAGGATCTTCCTCATCCGTCCTCTATGGAGAATTCTGGGTGCAGAGCAAGTGTATTCCACCACTTTGGATGTATAACCTAGTACAGGAGACAAACAGACAACATGATAGTTCTGTAAGGCAGGATGAAATGTTTACATAGGAAATGCACCTGCAGCGCTTAGGGATGGTCACGGGGAAAGCAAGTAATTCAGCCTGGGATGATCTAATAAGGTGGTGATTTCCTCCATTCTTCATTGTTTGGAACTGAGGGACCCGGTGGGAGCAGGGTGCTTGGCCCCGCATTGGCTAATAGAGCCAAGTTAGAGATGACACCCCATGTTATTTGGGCTAACTTCAGCTCTGGTCTAGAATCTCTTTTAAACACTTCCTAAGACTGTTTCCTGGCTTCTAATTAAAACCCTCCTGGACACAGAGCATCCCCTTTCTAACTACAGCCCACAGTTTCAATTCTTCCAAATTTATCCTGTCTCTCCAGAAAGCACCTCTTCCCCCAGTGTCTGTGGCTCCAATGTGGTGGCATGGAAAACCACTCGCTAGCGTAGAGCTGTGTAACTGGGTTCAGAGTACGAATCTTAGTCTCAGGACACAGATAGAAGGGATCCTTTCCTCATGAAGATGGAAATTATGGATGGACTGGTCCTAATGGGAAGGAAGGAAACACACCGAACCCATAGGTGGGTGTCTTAGCAGAATGGCAAGACTGTTCTAGACAGAGAAGCCCCTAACAAAGAGTCCATTTTATTTTATGGGATCTCAAAGGAAAGTCATTATAATTTAGGGATTTCTTTGTCAAAAGAAGCAGGGAGTCCAGACAAGGTAGAATTGAGTTATACTTGCACTGGTCTCATCCGATTTGCCAACCTGTTTCCATATCTCAAGGATGTGCTGGCTACCCCTGTGACAATCCATTTACTTCTTTCTCCTCCTTATTGCCCCCAAATATTCCAGCTTTTCACCAGCAGAAGTAGCTTTGTTACTACTTCAGAGTCCTCTTAGCTCCAAGTCTCATCACCATCCACAGAGGCTGTGCCCTTTGGAGAAATTCTCATTCAGAAAATAGTCATCGTCTATTTCACCACCCACAAAGAAGACAGAATAATCCTGAGACAAGGCACATGAAGCTAGATTGTGGATGGCCAGTCCTATTGTCTTCCTTTGCTTCTTTTCAATAGAACTGCCCCTGAACTTCCTAAAAAACTCCCTATATTTCAACTGATTCCTTTCATTTCGCATCCCAGGATCTTGAGTCTTTGCAGCTGTTCCCACGTACAGGTGTTTGGAGGGCTGTTCTCGGTCATGCTGGGGGTGAAACCCAGAGCCTCACACACATTCGGCAAGCATCCTGCCACTGACACCCGCCTCATTCTCTTTAGGGTCCAGAACGTTCTCTGGGGTTTCTGTCTCCAGGGAGTAGACCCAAATACAAACACAAATCCACTGTGGGCCATTGAGTCCTTACCTACCAGTTTATCTAGGGAGAATAATGCATGAAAATGATTACAGTTCCCAACTTTATACCTCCACATTTGTGTTTCAAATCTTCCAATGCATTTAGATTTCCTCCTGGTTCATGGAATAGAATATGGACTCAACTTTTGTTCTTCTGATGACTGCTCAGAAGTTCCCACAGCACTCACGGAAGGCATCTGTCTCCACTCACTCATCTGACAATGCACACTTTGCACCTGCTACACTGCTGGTTGGATCTGTGCCTGATTTTGGACCCTCAAAGCTTTTCCTTTAGTTAATTTACCCATACACGTACTGATGCCACATATTTTAATTTTATTTAAAATATGACCTTCGATTTATTGGGTCCAATCATTCATTTTTTCCTTCTTTAGAATTTAAATATTTATTTTATATTAAATTTAGAATTAGATTTGTCTGGTTTCAAAAATAAAAAATAATTTTAGTGTCTCTAAGCTACAGTCTTGTTAATGGGTGAACACAATAGGGAAGATTTCCAGGTCAGGGGACCTTTTGTCACGTGCTCTGTGCGTATGGTGTCCTTCAATAGCGACTGAAAGTTTTCTTCGTAAGAGTTTGCGTATCTCTTGTTAAGCATGTTGCCAAGCATTTTATCATTTTCACTACTGTTATTGATCAGAATTCTTTCACTATCTTTTCTGATTACTCATTGTTTGTACATATTGATTTATGTTTATTAAGTTCAAAGTATGCTGACTGTAATCTCTTACAGATATATTATTTGTAGCTAGTTTTTTTAAACACAATCTCTCTTACATTGCATGGTAATCAATGGGATACCCTGAATGCTGGGTGAGAGTATTTCCCTCCCTTCCAGTTTTCTTTTCTGAAATCCAGTGCTTACCTGAGTAGAGTCTTCAGCAGCAGCAGTGACAGGGAACATTCTTGTCTGGATCTAAGACTTGGAGATGTGGGCTTGTGTCTGGGTGATGCTTGCTCTGGGCAGGGAAACAGGCATATACCTCGGCTCCTGTTTACTGTCTATGCATGTTTACATTTACCTCTGTATCTATATCTGAAGATATCCACCTATATCTCATATTTAAACACAAATAGCCCTATCTATATATCTAAATGTTACACATATCTAACTATACATGGCCTATATATATAATAGCGGTGTTAATTCAGTCATAATAAAGACAATTCTATTACAATATACTGAGCATCTTAAGTTTTCGTTCTTACTTTATGGATGTCTAATTAGTATGCAACAAGCCACATCTACTTAAAGTGTACAAGAGATGAACTAGATTTTCATGTGTTCTAGGAATGCATTGATTCAGTAAGACAATGAACATATCCATCCAAGTAATTATCCAAGTTTATCTAAAGCCTTTCCTTCCCTGTCCTCCTTGCCAGCTAATCCGTGCTATAGAGCTCTCACACCTCATAAACATTTTTTAATTTTATTAGTATGTTTACAGTGCTTATGTTCACATTCCCGTGTGGACCGTACATGTACACCTCACATCTTAATTCTTTATTTTTTCCCGTTCCCTCCCTTTCTCCCTTCCTCCATCCATCCCAAGATCCCCTTCCTATCTGAGGTATATCTATCTTCCTACTTCCTAAGAGCTATCTTTCATGTAACAGAATTTTAGGTGAATAAAATCATACACTACTTGATATCATTTTGAAGGAGGAACTTAGCACGCACTTAGATCAGTACAGGTCATTTAGAAGATGTGTCTGTAGTTTATTTCTTTTTATTGCTGAATAGTGCTTTATCCATCCATCCACCTACTGGTGGGTATCCAGCTGGATCCCAGTTTAGGGTTATTACAAATAAAGCACTGTAGGGCATTTCTTTACAAAGCTTTGTGTTAACGTGTGTTTTTGTTTCTTGCAGGTAAGCACCTGTGAGTGACAGGATGAAGATTCATGGTGGATGCAGAAATAACCATTCACCAAACTGTCGAAAGATTTTCTTCGTATGTTTATTTGCCATTGGTATATTTTCTTTGACTAAGTGTCCACCCAAGCCTTTTTGCACATTCATTGAGCTCTTCATCTTCTTATTACAAAGTTTGTTGAGATTTTTAATAAGATACATATTTTACATTTTTCAGTTATCTTTCAATATTTAGAGCGATGATCATCTTGTTTCTTAGTTCTATTAATGTGATGAATTTTCTCATAACCAAAGCTCTCCTTATTCCTGAAATAAAAGCTACATAATGTGCTTCTGTGGTGAGCTTGCATCCTCTTTGTTGGGGACCAGTACACCAAATTTAATAAGTGAGATCATTAATTTGTATTTTTACGCAGTGTTTATCAGATTTGTCAACAATCTTATTCATTTGTCAAGAAGTGAATTATTCATTTCCAAAACATACTTAGGACATTATAATTCTTTTTAGGAGATATTATAATTCTTGTTAGGAGTAGTTGAAGTGGTAGAGATTTATTTCGAATTGTGCAAAAATTTGTCCCATTCCTTAGAAAAATGGGCTTGTATGGAAAACATAACAGATGAACTGGGGTATCTCATAGTTCCAGAAAATTGCTTTAAAAATCATACAATGATGGGAGGACTTAAAAGGAATACAGAGGCCCACTGAGGGCTCACCCAGTGGCCGACCCTGGGACAATCTGAGCAATGAAATAAAGTAGCAGGGAATGTACTGATGTGAATAAATGATCAAATGCATAAACAAATAGATTTGGGATAAGAGGCCAAGATCCCAAGTAGATGATTTCCAAATAATTTGTATAAGTGATCTACCCATTCACAGGAGGAACATAGCTCCTTATTCAAGTAGCAGTGGAACACAGACTTTTGCCCAAGAGTGCTACAGAAGAGAAGGAAAGAGGACCTTTGCAATGGGAAATATTTGAGTACTTCCTCAGCTAACACCAACACTGTCAAGGTCAGCATCTCCAGTGATAAGCTATGTACCTTCTCCCACTAGTGTCTTTTTGTGCTGCCTCTATGTCCTGAATTGATTCAAAATGTTTCTGCTAACTTCTATCAAATGGAACATGTGGCAGTGCATCCTTACATGTCTTATTCACTAGATCAACACAGTATGACTTCTGACTCTTCCCCAAAGTCAAAATGACCATGCAAGTTAGCCATTTTGAGTCAATTCAGGACATCAAGGCAGCCAGGACAACACAACTGTAGACATTTGTGGTAGAGGACTTCCAGAACAGTGTTAGAAGGTGGCAAGGAAGATGTGATACATGCGCTTAAAACAAGAGGAAATAATTTAAGAGGGAGTAATGACAATTTTACCATAGGAATATTAATTTAAAAATTCACTTTCTATTTTATCACACCTGGTAATTGCATTTAGTTTTCTGTTCTTCCTACCCAAATCTCATAACCCCAGTCAACCCATAGGAAAACATTAGAGAATCCTGACTGTGGGACATTCTACAAACTACTTGGCCAATACCAAGATTATTGGAGTCATCAGAAGCAAGCAGTCTTAGAAACTGTCACAGCAGATGCTCCTGGAAAGCATGACAACTGAATGATCATTTCAGCTTTATAAAATGTGAAACAAATATCTGCAGTACTCTGGTTACCTCCTACGGTGTCACCACCAGCCCACACTCACTATCGTAAAGCAGAAACATTCACTATAGCTGTCTCTGTCACTGTCATCTCCCATGGGCCTGGTTTGACAGGGTTGCTGGGCAGTGCACTCTCAGGGTCTCTCACAATACTAAAGACATTCAGTGGCTGCCACCTCAGGAACTGTCTTACTGTGGCCCCTGGGGACCCCTGCGTATATGCTCAGGCGTGGCTTGTGCTTCATCAGGGCACGGTGGCCCAGTCAAAGATTAAAGGTTTCAAAAGGCAGCTGGAGAGAAGTTGCACTTCTTTTCACACGTTTAAAAGTCCTATTCCATTTTTTTCCGCATAGGTAGTAATGTCTTGTGGAACAAGGGCCCATTGACAGCTGTGTTTTAAATCATTCATGGCAACACTTATTTTCATTGATATTGTTCTGCTAGACTTTTGCCTAAATTCCATGTCTGAGCTTTCAGAATCATATTTAGTGGTGAATTACAACGCAAAGTACACACGGGGGGACTTCAGGGGAGGAAAAAAAGATGACCACTGAAGCGTCACATAGAATCGATACCTCATGACTCTGAGCGCCATGCAGCCTGCGGAAGAAAGAAGTGTCCAGGAAAATGACATCAGGCTGAAGTTTTAGATATGAGTCCAAGTAAACACAGGAAAGATTTGACAGTGAGAGGCACTGTCATCTTATGTTATTTCCTCAGATCCTGAAATTCAGTTACCAACTTGATCATGCTAAGAGAGGGATCTTTAGGAGGTGGTCAGCTGCTGACAGTCCCCCCATGAGTGTGATTAAGGCCCTTAGGAAAGAGGGTTCTTAAGCATTCCCCTGGCTTGCCTTCCTGCCCTTCTTCCCTCTGCCATGCTAGAATGCAGGGTTCTTCCTTCCAGAGGATGCGGCAAATAGGCACAATCTCAGGACAGGCAGGCACTCACATCAAAAAACTGAAGCTCCTAGTACCTGGATCTTAGACTGTACAGACTTGAGAAGGTGTGAAATAAATTTCTGTTGTGTAAAAATTACCCAGGCCCACGACTTTTCTTGAGGAGCACAAACTGGATTCAGATGAAAGGTAAAGGAGATGGAACATTCTACGCAGGGTTCTGTGCTTGGATTAGTGTTGGTGGCCCATCAGAATAGACAATGGACATTTAGCCAGGCATGTCACAGTATGTGTGTGTGTGTGTGTGTGTGTGTGTGTGTGTGTGTGTGTGCGCACATGTGCTCTCGTGTGTAGTGGCCACATAAAGAAAGAAACAGGTCCAAAACACCACAATATTTTAGAAGCTGCAGAAAAATGTTTGGGTTTTTAGACTGATTGGAATAAGGATCTTGGAGGACTTTTTAACAGAGGAGAAATGATTCCAGGGACCAGGAGAGGGCCATGTGTTTCTATATGGTATTACCTCCCGGTCACAGGAACTGAATTTATACTTACATGTTCTGCCTATTTGATAAGAATTTATTAGCCATTTACAAATGGGAGGGATCGTGATAAAATAAGACAAAATTTATTGTTACAGATAGCCCAGTTAACAAAAACACCAACCAATTGCTTTACAACTGTTGGTTCAACTGGAAATTCTTTTTTTTTTTAATTTTTAAAGAAGTAAAATTAAACCCAACAAAACAGAACAAAATATGACATAAGAAAGCAATGTAAGAGATATAAATTTTAAAGCAAGACGACCTGAGATCTTCACTATCTGTCATACTGGATCTTGTTTTCTTCCAAATAGTTGTCCATGTCTTCGCATACAGAGAATTCATATAAAACAACATAGTATAAAACTAATCGAGCAGAATGAGGAAGGCATTATAGATCTTCAAAGCCAAACAATGGGGAAGTCACTAATGGCTGTTTTTGTCTCTCATTCTCTTCAAAATAGCTGTACATACTTTCATGTATATTGAAGTTCAACAAAACAAAACAGGCTAAAATAACCCCATTAATTAAAACAAAGCAAAACAGGGATAAAAGTATTTGCCTTCAAAGAGATGGTAGAAGGAAATTCCCCGTTTGCTACATTGCCTTTGGTCAGCCTCTCAAGGGATGTCCAGATCACTGGCTTCCATTTGCCAGCGGGGTGGGGGTGGGGGGAGATGTGATGTTTGGTTTCCAGCCCTCGCGCCGGCAGGCCCACAGCCCCTCGTGATGTGGGGAGGGGGAGGTTGCTTGGTTTCCCAGCACTCCCCATCCCAGCATGGTGCGGGCTCCAGTAGACACTGGAGGCTCCTTCCTGGGCCGCCGTAGCCTGCCATGCTTACAGCCACTCACGCTGGGGTGGGTGCTTGGTTTCCCTGCACTCCAACTGGAAATTTGTTCTTCTTTGACCATTGTAGCTGTGAAAGAATCACATTATTTCATGGGGGTCAGTGGTTCTTCTGACCACAGAGGTCTACTGACCCCACTGGTCAGTCGCTCTGCTGCTGTATGTCTGGTGATGGATCGGGGTGACCTGAGAAAACCCACCTGTCCATTGCATGCCTGCTACTCCATTCACTGCTTCCCATTGTCACCACTGACCCCCTTTAAATCTTCACAACTACCTTACAGGAGAGGAACTTGATCTTGCTGATTCAGCAACTACAACAGAGTGACTGGAACTGGACTGTTTTCTAGCATCATAAATGTTTCTCATTTTTCTGGAGACTGCGAAGTCCAAGATGAAGGTGCTGGCAGGTTGAGCACCCGGTAGGGAGTCCTTTTCTTGTTCCTAGAGAGAGGACACATCTTGCAGAGCTTCTAATGCAGAAGGGTGAAGGATCTTCTGGACTCTGTTTGGTAAAGGCCATTTGTGAAGGTTTACCTTTCTAACCTGACCACCTTGTGGAAACCCCACCTCCTGACATCATCCTAAGCAAGTGATTAGGACTTAAGCCTATGGATTTTCCTGTTACATATTCCAGAAAGCTGAGTATTTCTGAGAACTAGAAACACCGGAGATTCTTAGCCTCTCACAGCTCCGTGGGTGCTAGTAAGTGGCATGAGCTTTCTGGGCCAGAGATAAAGGACAGTTCATTCCTCACAGTGATAGCTGTAGCCAGTAGATCAGCATTAATTGCACCTGTTCCTTGAATGCTAGTTCCCACAAGCTGATATAAGAGGGCAAGGGTCTCAAGCTGTGTCCATTTATTTGTAAGAATCTCAATGTGATCATTCTTTATAGCCGAGTAATACTCCATTGTATAAAAATGCCTCATCTTTTTTATCCATTCCTCAGTTGATGGACACTTAGGTTGTTTCCAAGAATTGGCCATTACAAATTGGGCTGCTATAAACAAGGTTGCACATATATCACTGTGGAATGATGTTTTCAGTTCTTCTGGGAATATGCCTAGAAGTGGAATAGCTGGAACAAATGGGACTTCCAATCCCAGCTTTTTGAGAAATCTCTAGACTGACCTCCACAAAGGTTGCACCAGTCTATACTCCCACCAACAGTGCAAAGAGTTCCTTTTTCCACACAGCCTCTCCAGCATTTGTTGTTGATAGTTTGCTTGATTCTGGCCATTCCTTCAGGAGTGAGATGGAATCTCAGATCAT